AATCAAGCCGAGCCGCCATATATGTATATAGTACATACACGGGGCCTACTTTAAAGCTTGTTTACGACAGCGCTCGCGCAATCGTCTCTGCTCTTTGTTCGATTGTAAATCGATTTGCACCACATTTTTCCGGCGCCCTCAATAACACGTAGCGATCTAAACACGGCAACACGATCAGAACACCGCTCCTCAAGCAGTGTCTCAACGCGCGCCGCTTCTGCATCTAAAACGCAAAGTCACATGCTCTGTGCAATACACCGCTAAGTAACAAACGTTTATATTGTTTATCTTAAGGAACTGGCATCATGCGACGTTTTCATTAGCGTTCTTCTCGTCTCTAGATTCTTATAATACAAATGCTTACCACATTTTCTCAACCTGGTTAGCATTCTTAATTACAAGTTTGAACTCTACAAACAATACGAAAATAATTGACGAGGACACGACGGCGTGAAATACATAAATACATCTATTCTTTTACGGATGATAATACGATGTGTCGGCAGCCGGCTGTGCTCTAGTATCATATGCCATCTGCATTGTTTCAACGCAGAGATAATGCCTTCGGACAGGTGCCAACTGACCGACACAATCGGTGTAGCACTCTTGTGTTCTGTGTCCTGTGATCACATCGACACGTGTCAGTTTGCGCTCATTCCGCGCCCGCCATTTGCCACTGCGACTAGGCTAGTCGAAAGAGTTGTTTGCTCGCAGCCTCGTCGCGTCATCGCGATACTGTACGCTGCTCGCCCAGACGCTATCTAGATGTCTCATCTAGGCACATCCAAATCGCAGCAGTTGCTGTGCATTTATCCCATGAAAATTAGTAATATTCCATTGTTTGAGTGAAATGAGCCGGCGGAGGGAGTGACGGGCAGGCAGGCAGTGGTACGCTCGCCGCCAGTACACGCGTGTATTTGTTGTGTCAGTGAGATGAAAGCAGCGCCGGCGGCGGCCGCTACTTTGCAATTCTACTATTTTATTATCTCCTTTGCTTTGATGTTCCTTTGAATGGAATGACGTGATTACAATCTAAGTGAGACACACCATTTGTCCAGTACGAGTATCCTACAATGGACTTGTAGAATGTAAAAAAAAACAAAGTAACAAACAAAAATCTTTTAACACGCTTACGTGTTTCGTTGGACGCGTTTGACGTTGAGTATTTATTTAGAATAAAATAACTGTCGTGGGCGTGCTGATTGCTTACTCATCCACATTTTTGTGCCATCGGACAGGACCTGCCCCCGCCTCTTCTCCGAGATTCGTGCCATTATCAGTCAGTGTCATTATGACGGAGCTCGCATTCCAGTCGCTGACGCAATCATCAATTGTTTTACATTTGAAAGAGATGGCTGTCGGTTTGCTTCAGAGCAAACTATTAACACACGATAGCATTTTTTATTTCTTTTTGACTGTTAATGACGATTGGATTGTTTCATAGGCGCGGCAGGCGGTGCGGCGGGCGGCGCGGCGCCGGCGTTCGCGCGGCGGCAGCAGACGCGTGTGCGCGCGCGGCCAGGCGCCGCCGCCGCACTGCGCTGCCGCGTGCTGCGCCTCGCCGACAGAGCGGTACACATCCTACGCGTAGCGTGCCCTATAATGGCTTTTCTCAAACAATGAATTAATACAAGATATAGATATTTATAAGTGTATCATTTTTAAAATATTTATCTCTAATCTCATTGTAAAGTTTTTTTTTTCAATTTCTCATTATTAATTTCCAAAATTGAACTTTTTAATTACATCCATTTTTGTCTAATTGGTTTATTTAGTTTGATTTGTCGGTTTCAGGTGTCGTGGATCCGCTCCAGCGACCTGCAGATCCTGACGCACGCGGGCACCGTGTTCACCGCCGACGCGCGCGTGTCCGCTATCACGGGCGC